TTAAATACCATTTCACTGCATACTTTAAATGCAATTGTAAATTAACTGCCTCGTTGGCCGAGTGGTCGCAAGTGCGGCAAGGGGTCTCGGGTTCGATACCCGGGTCAGGCAAAGTATTACAGGGTTTTTAAAAAATCTCAGTAATAGTAGATTAGAGTCTGGAAATGTGCCCGGTATATGGCAATAGGCTCACCCCCTATTACATGGGACTCATAACATAAATAGTGAAAAGTGGGTGTTACATTGTACAGTCGCATTAAGTGCCAAAATGTGCACCTCTGCCTACCCCTTCGGGGATAAAAAGGCGTAATGTTATGTTATGTAAATTGTATAATAATTTTGTGTTTTTGTAAATACTGAAAGCGATTCAAATCGATGGTAAAATGTACTACATTTGTGTAGGTATTACGGTTAATTTATATCATTAGATTGTTAACTACTATTAGGTACTGTGTAAACAACGGTGAACAGTAAATATTTTTAATTTTAGTTCTTTGTGGGATCAACAATTAAGAAAATAACTAATTCATATAAATTTTGAACGACATATTTATATCTGAAATCTGTAAACATAAAATTAAAAAGAACTAAAATTAGAAATAGACTTTGAACAAATCTATCGTCTGATATTTTCCCTAGTAGCTGATAATTTTTAAATGTTAATTTGTATTTACTGTAAAATAAATGTAATATTGTAATTAATAACTTCTTTGATTTTGCAGCTACCAGACATAGCTAATTCCAATACTACCTTCGATGTACCAACCTGCAAGGTACATTGTTGGTAGTATTGGCATTAGCTATACTTAGGATTATCTGTAGACGTTAGTAAAAAAAAAAATATACTAGGATCCAATTTTCAGATGGCGTTTCAAATTGATTGGCATAAATTTTTGACGAGTGGCAACTCTTATCCCCTATACTTATTATACTCTTTGGTGCAATAATTACTCTAACAGGTAGGAGACAGCTATACTCGACTTACTAGTTTAGTTATTTGACATGAAATTTAGAAACCTAATTACCATTATGGTTGTGTACTAAAATCAACCGATAAACATGATAATATTATCGTAGACTGGATTTTAATTAATAATAAATGAGTAAATAAATATCGCTATGGCTGACAGTGATTGTCAAATTACACAGATAAAATTGATAAACATAATATTTTTGAAAAGACCAATGAGTGAAAAGAGGTTCATAGCGCTGATGGTTGAAAAATTAACAACAATAGACACAAAAAATAGGCAAATACGTACCATTGTTAGTGTTACATTGCTCAGAAGGTACACAGACACCTTCAGAGTTTCTAAGATATCCGTCAATGCAGTTACATCCAGGCTCACACTCGGCTAGTGGGCAAAAGTAAGTAGTGTAAATACTCTCACAAGTTTGTGGTGGACACGCAGCTCTGCAACTAGTTGCCACTTCATTAGTTCCACACGTAGTTGGAATCGGGGCTGAAAAATAGAATATGTCTTTCACTTCACGAATGCCTGGTAATATTTAGTTGACTATTATAATGAGTCTGATTATATTTTAGAAATTTTATTTTTAGTCGTGGCCGTCCTACTGCAGGGCAAAGGCCTCCCTACCCTCTCATCTCTTCTTATAGCTTTCTATGGCCAATCCCTTTCACAGGCGTCAAGTTCATCCCGCCATCTCTTTCTGGGCCTACCGCGACTGACGTTGAGTGGGCTCCACTCAGTAGTGAATTTTAACCACCACTCATATGACATGCGACAGATATAACCAGTCCAGCAGTGCTAGCCAAATGCCATTTAGCGCTTGTCTACATGTAGAATAGAAAACCAAATTATATGGAATTGACGTAAATTTTGACACTTGTCAGTGTCATCCCCATACATTTTGATTTCTACTCTCTCTGTAGACAAGCGCTAAAGTGGTTTTTGGCTAGAGGCCCAGTTCCACTTTAAGCTTGCGGCTTTATGAGTAACGTCAACGATTTGAGTTTTGGAATACAGCATGGAGTTTTATATTCTGTCCGATTGGACTGATTGAATCTGAGTCTGATTGAATAGAGAAAATTTTATTGCCATAAAATGAGTTGGTATAATATTTTGTTCTATTAAGGTATTGACTGATCATCAGCGTATACAGATAGAAACACAATTTGGAAAATTGACATTTTTTTAATGGAACAAGCCCGCCACAACCTCCCAAAACCACTGCAACTCCTGTAAGCCAGGATCTACAGTAGATACAACCATGAAAACACCGGAACACTGAAGTCCGGCGCGTCCCAGGGACATGAGTAACTGTCTTGGTTCCCGCAACGAAGTGAATCAGAAGATATTATAAGAGGAGAAGAAGAAAAAATTGGCATGTAAATTAAAAATCGAAAAATATTCTTACGGCATTTGCTCTCACGGATGCAAGGTCCCGTATTGTTGTCATACTTTTTGACATAACCAGCGTCACAGACACATCCTGTGAATGGTGCACAGGCTCCAGCTACGTCTGTAGTAGAAAGTTGACGATTGCCACATGTCTTTGGACAACTCTTATCGTTTATAACATAGTGAGCATGTTTGGGGCATTCTGGTTCTGTAATAAAACAAGTATCACATACAATCCAAACTTTTGGGTGGCAATATTAACTCGTCGAGTACCGTCATTATAGACACAATTATAGAACAATAGGTTGCGGTCACCGGTGACCGCTTGGTGTTTGACAGTTTAATTACAAATGTCTCTACAATAATTCCACTCTCAGTATTTTTTTATTCTATTATGTACTAGCTGTTGCCCGCAACTTCGTCCGCGTATATTAGTTTTAGGACAAATTATTTTAGGTTCAATTTTCCAAAATAAAAATAGCTTGTTACTCCTTAGTGCATCAGGTAACTGCCAGTAAAATCCCGTCAAAATCGTTCTAGCCATTTCAAGAGATTAGCCTTGAGCTTGATTGATGACAATAATATTACTGAACCTCTAAACATTGCATTACAAAACTGATCAGCATCGTTTAATTATAAATATTTCTTGAATATCAACGTACAGATTGAAATCAAACCTAAAAGACCAAGAGGAGAAAGGAGCCTCAATAATATCAGCAGGCAATGATTTTGAAAAATTAAAAATATTTGTTAACTAAAAATCGCAGGTTACTCATGTGAATATACTGAGAAAAGCTCTCTATTACATAGGTATGTATACGAGCGACGTAGTAGGTACAACGTCGCGCAACCTACTACATCGCCGCGATCGCGCACGCTGCTCATGAGGAAGAACGCTCTGTGGCTCGAAACTATTAAAGCTTTTCTCAGTACAATCACGTGAGTAACCCGCGATTTTTAGTTAATTTAGTATGTCTCACGATAGTTATTATGAAAAAAAATATTGGTAATGTAGTTGTTGAGTAATAATGTCGTCACCGCTCAACCATCATACCATTGTACTATGCAGATTGTTACAGTTGAGGATTTTTATTTAAACACAACAGTAGTATACCTGGACAATGTTCCAACTTAACACATTTGCCTTTCTCAGTGTCCAGAACATATCCTGAAGCACATTCGCATCCCTCCCTCAAACACAGCGCTGCACATGGTCTGGAATTAGGCTGGTCACATGTTAATGGACACGGATTGGGACATTCCTTGTATACTGCATGTGGGTCGCTGCATTTATTTACTGCAATAGAAAGAAGAATATTTTTTTTATTGCTGCGTAACTATTGAAAAAGGGGCTTTCTTTACTTTTCGAGTAATTAGACAACGTTATTCTTTAAAGTGAAGTATCGGTGTCGGGTTCGATTTCCGGTTGGTTTTCCTGACTTCTCAGGAAGATTCACCTCTCTATAATGTGGAGCTCGTAACACGGGTGTAAATGTGGGCCTTACATTGTATAAGTGTTACCTTGTGCACCCCTTTGGACATTAAGAAGCGTAATGTTATGACATCTATCTCAAAAAACCCTTTCATTTTGACGAAAATAAAACTTCCTTACCAGGACAATGTTTGCGTTTAATACATATTCCATTAATCTTGTCCAGTACATATCCATGTCGGCATTCGCAGCCATTTTTGACACAAGCCTTCGTACATACTTCTGGTTTCGGCGTCTCACAGGTCTCTGGACAAGGGTCAGGACAAGTCTTGTACACCGCATTGGGATCTTTGCATAGCATTAATGCTGAAACAAATTTGATACTAAAGTCTTCTGTCATAATTTATTATTTGGTTTGACATGGTATGGGAGTGTGGGAGAGCCATGCTGCGGCACGAATGGGCTGGCTCGACCGGAGTGATACCACGGCCTCACAGAAAATCGACGTTTTTTTTTTAACGTTGCCCCACACAAGGATTTTCTCCTGTGTCGTGGGTGCGTTTACAAACATACAAGTTCACATACACAATGACACCCAGACCCGAAACAACAATTTGTGGATCACACAAAGTGTTGTCCCGTGCGGGAATCGAACCCGAACAGTCAAGTTTGCGTTGTGTTTCGTCGTGTGAGTGAGGTTACCGGAGGCCTAATTACCCTCCCCTTCCCAAATCACCCCAATTCCTGAATCCCCAACGGTCCTCAAACTCCTAATCCCCAAAAGGCCGGTAACGCACTTGTAACGCCTTTGGTGTTCCAGGTGTCCATGGGCGGCGCGGATTGCTTACCATCAGGTGATCCGTCTGCTCGTTTACCGGCTTATGCCAAAAAAATGGTGAAGTCATCGGAATCATTAAATTATCAAAAATAGTGTTTTGTTTAAGTGAGCAGATAATTTTTATACTGTTGATAATGTTAAAAGTTGAACGCCACACCCAAACATTTTATTTTATTTTTTTGTCATTGTAACCGATTACTATTTCAAGGCAACATAATGTCATTATCATTGCATATTGCATTAATTGAGTTAAAATAAAATGAATACGACTACTGCAGTTTGTGCAAGCAGACGTGTATTGAGATAAAAATAAGGTCTCAAAAATAAGGTTATTTGCTATTATGTTGACCTTTAATTTAGGTACTGCAAAACTACTGTACAGTTTTCCATGAAATTTATAGATACTTTAACCAAAATAGAAAGTATATCAATAAGAATGCCTCGTTGGCCGAGTGGTCGCAAATGCAGCTGCCGGGTAAGTGATCTCGGGTTCGATTACCGGGTCGGGCAAAGTATTACTGGGTTTTTAAAAATTTCTCAGTAGTAGCACGTAGTATGGAATTGTGCCAGGTATATGTAACACTGGTTTCACTGTTTATGTTATGAGTCGCATGTAATATGTTATTTTATTTAATTTAAACTAATTTGATGTCTTTATTAAAAGGTCACTGAAGAATTAATACGGTTGCAATGCGCAGCTGCCAAGATCTCGGTTTGATCAAATATAGCTTTTATATTAAGTACGGAAAAACCAATTTAGCAATTGCTTTCAATGAACCAAAAACGATACCACAACTAATTCACACGTGTATAAAATACCTAACTTTAATAAACGTCTATTATGATCAAACAAATAAGTACTTCATACACGTGTGGTCATTATTTGTATCTATAAATCACGAAAACGTGACGTACAAATGGTAGCACATGAAGTTATCCTAATTTGTCTAATTTTCAACCTTATTCCAAAAACTATAAAGTTGAAATTCTCATTAGTATTTGACAAATCGGGGTAGCTTGACGTGCTTACCTACTGCCTGTAAAATCAAAGTTTTTTTACATGATGTAAGCTGGTTAAATATTTGCATAATAAGTATGAGACAGTATTATAATAATACACGTGAAATACAGTTCGAGGACCCAATTGTTTTGTAGAAAAGATTTTTAATACAATTACAGCTGTGTACTTAACATATTCATGAGAATAGTATGTATTGTAGCTATACGTAAATGAGTAGTTCCGTAATGTATCAGTAAGGCCTCGTATCCACTTGGCAACAATTGACACGCCACTCATGATGCTCATATTTCACAGCCTTACACAAAAAAATCCGTTCTAATTTACCTAAACAAACTCTAAAAGTATTTAGTGTGGGAGAGCCATGCTTCTCACGAATGGGCCGGCTCGATTGGAGTGATACCACGGCCTCGCAGAAAACCGACGTGAAAACTTAGGTTACCGGAGGGCCAATTACCCCTTCCCTAATCCTCGAATCCCCAAGAATCTCGAAATTCATAATCCCCAAAAGGCCGGTAACGTACTTAACGCCTCTGACGTTTTATGTGTCTATTTTGCTTACCATCAGGTGATCCGTCTGCTTGTTTATCGGTATAAAAAAAACATATGTCAAGCGTGACTGAACTATGACGATTGAAAAATGAAAAAAACAAAGGTTTACCTTCCATCACAGCAAAAATAACTATTACCTACTTCAAAATTTTGTCGGAAATAAAGTCACGGCTATGGTTTTTACAACTCTTCCAACAAATGGCATTTTCTATATTAATTTAGACCGCGGTATCATCTCAAGTCTTAACTAATTTTGTTGATTTAAATCTCTCTGATCTGTTCGTTGGCAGTATAGAGAAGGATACAGACATTTCCACGGACAAACCTGCGTGAATAAGATAGATTTCAAATAAACCTTTAGCTATAGGTACTTACAACATGTAGATTCCCGAATACAAGGGCCAGTAGCATCATCGTTCAGTCTCACTCGACCTTCATGGCATACACAGCCAGTGTGTGGCTTGCAGGAATCCGAAGGTGCCTCGAAACTATTCGCACAAGTACGAATGCATTGTGGGTCATTTTCCGTGTAGTACTGATGTTTTGGACACAAAGGACGGTCGAACATGTCTAGAAGAAATGATGTCTTATTAGTTAAATAGTTCTTGGACAGTCTTATTGGCTTCTTTGGGGTATTTTTTAAAAATAATTCCAAATAAAACGTTCCTTTTAGACTTAGACAAGTCTCCTCTTGAAAAAGTAATTTGTTGTAGAAACTTTTAAGGCAATATTTTCCGAAAATATTTCTCGCTAAAATTACTAGTGCTCTTTAAAAAATGTTTAAAACAATGAATTGTATAAAATTTTACTAATATAAAGAGCGTTCTAATAACAAAGAAACTATAAAATTTGGTTTAAAGCCTTGAAGGATGAAACGATCTTTGTACAACAAAGGGCTTATACAAATTGTAACAAAAGAAAGCATAATAAGGTCTAGACAGAATTCCAGGAAAAAAAAATCAAATAAACATAAGAATAGATTAGTCAACCGTTAACCAACAAAATATTGTCTGCATCATCATTATCATTAACAGCCTGAGCAGTCCACTGCTATATTTTAGGACTTCTATACATAGGATACGTTTGGCATATACATATAAGGGTGCGTCCACATCTGCCAAATGCTCCGCGAATGTCAGATCCACAGAACATATAAAGAAGGTCAGATCGCAAGCAGTGTGCGAGCTGTGCGAGTGCATTTAAAATTTTTATTTATACGAGCCTTGTACGAGTCGCACTAAAGAGGCACGGTAAACCATTACCGTGACTGCATGCGCGTAGTTTGCGGGTAGCTCGCAAACGGCTCGCGAACTGCACATTCGCTGATGTTGTGGACGTACCCTTATGACCCCTATGTTAGGCGGGCAAGCTAGAAAACGCAGTTTCCTCTCCCGTGCAACCTGCATGATTGTTTTTCCAGCCAGGGACTTAAGAGGTTCAGATTTATGCTGCGTGATATCTATACAATATGTAATCCCATAATAGGCTCTTACAACACTCACAAAGATATAAAACAAATCACTTTAGTGAATCTATACTGTACAACTTACGACAAACAAACTTGGGAACGCAAGGTCCAGTTCCATCATCATACAGTCTCACGGTACCATGATCGCAGACGCATCCAGTAAATGGTTCGCAAGAATCGGAGCATGACTTGAATCTGTCAGAACATGTCTTGATGCAGTTTGTATTGTTTTCGGTGTAGTACTGATTTGATGGACATAGCGGTTCTAAAAGAAAAGTTAAAAGTACAATGTTAATGAATTTTCTCTGAAGTTTTCGAGTCTAATAACTAAAACATAAGACATAACATAACATAACGCCTTTTATCCCCGAAGTGGTAAGCAGAGGTGCACATTATGCCACTGTACAATGTAACACCCACTTTGCACAGTGCCATATACCGGGCACAATCCCTGCTACTACTGAGAATAAAAAAAAGAAACAGTAATACTTTGCCCGACCCGGGAATCGAACTTGAGACCCCTTGCTCGACAGTCGCACTTGCGACCACTCGGCCAATGAGGCAGTCTATTAAATATGGAAGTAGAAAAAGCAGCTGCTAAATTTGTGCTCTAAACTCTCTATGCATTGCAATATTTTGTTTTATAACCGACCTATATACCTACTTAAACAATGTGTGAAATTTTGTAATCGTCTATCCGTCTATGGTGAAGTGAGACGAAATTAACGTATCTTAAGTAATTCGTATTTAAATTACTTCGAACTAGAACATAGTTACGATAGCTAATCCTGCGATAATACAACTCAGTCATACATACAGTCCACATTCTTTTTAATAGAACTTAAATTGAAATTCTTTATCTTCTTCATTGTCTTAATATTAAAAATAATGAGGTAATCTTTGGCAAGTAAATTAAGATTTTCAAATAACAACGACAACATAGACAGTTCATGACCGTCCACTGTCGACCATAATAGTTTGCTACACTCTGCAATAATAACGCTTGACGGAGGATTGGAGATTATAAAACTCAATCCATATTTTTTTATGCTTTTTTATGGCATAGCATAAGGCGGTAAACGAGCAGACGGATCACCTGATGGTAAGCAATCGGCGTCGCCCATGGACACCTGGAACACAAGAGGCGTTACAAGTGCGTTACCGGCCTTTTGGGGATTAGGAGTTTGAGGATCGTCGGGGATTCAGGAATTGGGGAGATTGGGGAAGGCGAGGGTAATTGGGCCTCCGGTAACCTCACTCACACAACGCAAGCGTTGCTTCACGTCGGTTTTCTGTGGGGCCGTGGTATCACTCCTTATGTTCAGTTTTGTTGTCCAAATATTTGGATTAAAATGAGATTTTTCGATCATTTCTCGTTACAAAATTACATGGGACTCGTGACTTAAATAGTGAAAAGTGGGTGTTACATTGTACAGTGGCATTAAGTGCCGTAATGTAGGTACACCTCTGCCTACTCCTTCGGGGATAAAAGGCGTGAAGTTATATAATTCTCGTTACAAAATATCTTTGTTTCTATAGGTGATAATCCTACCTGAATTGTCACATGGCGATGGTGGTGGTTTTACACTGGAGAATATTCCCCCAACGTAAGTCAAAACCAATAATCCGATGAACACCAACATAACAGATGTACTGTATGTAGTTCACAGAACATCTGCTGTATTTATTAACTTCGCCACACAACTAATTATTCATTATCAATTGAACACGTTTTCAAACAATTAAACACAAAAACATGCTGACTATAATGTATAAAGTAAATAATTAAAGTAGGTACCCAAACACGTCATAGCACGATTTTTCAATAAAATTATTGTTATGAAATTTCTATTGGACATGAAGTGTTTATCTAATGAAAAAAATAGCAAAGAAAGCGTGGTTTTATCATAGTTTAGTCAATGTTGTGTTAAATGCTTTAAAATGCCTCTGTGTATCATGTTTCGTCGTATAAGGCCAGTCTCCCCAATCCCGAATTCTCCACAATCCTCAAATTGACAATTCCCAAAAGGCCGGTAACGCACTTGTAATACCTCTGGTGTTTCAGGTGTCCAAGGGCGTGGTCGAATGCTTACCATCAACTGATCCGTCTGGCTAGTTTTTATCCCATAGGAAGATGGGCTAAGTCGGAATAGAAACTGGTTTTATCTAAGGTACTGAATTGATTTTAAAGAAATTTGGTTCATATTATTAGAATAAACCTTTAAAAAGACTAACTAAAACTCCAAATTTGCAAGAAGTAATTATTATACGCAGACGAAGTCGCGGGGAACAACTAGTTTTATACACACGCTTTATGGCTACTTATATGGTTTAAAAACATCTGATTTAAGAACGTTATTTTTATATATCTCCTCATAAAGTCTTTGATATAAGAAGAAGTAAATAAAATTACATATTTTTCAGAATTCAGTTACTGACGATTAAGTACAATAACAATAAATGCGAATTAACAAATTGGCAGCGTAATTAGATATTCGTCAAATTTCATTATTTAGCATGGTATCACAACCAATAATTAAAAAAAAAAGACTGATATAAAACCAGTTATTTGTGTTTTTTTTTTGAGAAATAAACAATATAATATAACAAACTGAAGTGTTTGTTTTAAATTATTTGTCTATATCTATAGATATCTATGCATCGATGCTTCATTACTATGCATAAAATAAAAAGATATACAGAATAAAAAGATATCTAGGTACATATACAAGGTGTAGTTTTAAAACCGTGGCATTTCTCGGGGGCATGTCACAGAAGTCATAAAGGTTCAATGTAAGAGAAAGTTTCGGGCCAATAGTTAAAAATATGGTTATAATAAATCGTTTAAGTTCGACAGAATTTCAGAATAAACGACAGCAAGGGAATAAATTAGGAATAATATCAATTACGTGTTTGAGTTTGTGTGTGTTAAGCTGTGTTATAAAACTAGTTACAAGACGGCGGTGTGTAGTTCGCACTTACGGATTTCGGTAATTTACAGAAAAATTAAAAATATTTACCTACAATTTTTTTATTGATTCGGACTCAGAATCGATAGCCGAGTTACCTCCTAGAAAATGACGCGGCTTTAAAACAACCTTGTATAAAAGAAAGACGTGTTAGTTACACTATTTATAACTCATTAACGGCTAAATCGATTTTGATGAAAAAGCTTAGAACCAGATGATGGACATAGGATACTGTTTATTCAATATATTTTTTTTTTACTTAATGCCGAAAATCAGGAACGGGAGCGGGAAAAACGGGATTGCGCATACGAAGTTGAGGGTAATTTTATACAAAGCTACGAAGCTAGTAATTTTATAAAAATTTACAAACGCCGAAATGTAATACCTATTAAATTTCAATAAATACACATTGTAAATACCTATATAACTATGTATGTATAACTTTGTAAGGAAATAATGAACAATACCAAAATTCCAAATCATGTACCGTAACTAATTCAATAAAAAAAAGACACACGTGTTTGTCTATCAAAAGCTAACAAAAGATATAATAGCTTAATTGTTTCATGTCAATGACCTTGAATATAAAAAATGGTTGCCTGTAAAGTCGTTTTTACGGGTGAAGATTTTACGTGTCAACTTCTTTTTCTCGTTAGAATATTTATTGATATGAATATAATTAAATTGCACAATAGGAACAAGGAATTGAATGAACTAGTGCTGCGCGCGCGGCAGACCGATCATAGTTGAGTGGGAGAGAGACGCAAGGCATTCGGCGGGCCTCTCTCTCGTTCGGTGACTCATCGTAACGTTACCGAGCGTTACACTTTTTCATAAGTGACTCCCAGCCGCAACCTAATTTAAGACGTTGTCACGTCAAAATTTGATTGAAACATACCTATGTTAATATCGAAGTAATACTCACCTATGCCGCGGAGAACGTAAAAAGTTGCCGGGGCTCCGGCTCGAAGTGCAGGAGTAGGAACGGGGTGGTTTTTAGTCAGTAAGAGCCTGACACTCGCTCTCGCCTCATCCAGGTGGGAGAAGTCATTCGATGATTTGCCCTAGTAAATAAGACCCACTACTTATATATTTTTTTAAATCAAGCCTATGTTTATTAGTGGACGTCTTATGACTTATTTATGATGATGGTGGCTATCAACGGTATCAAACGGTAGAGAGGTCAGAACATTCATTATAATAGCTCGCTAACCAATCATTAGTTACTTGCCCGCGGCTATACCCGTTGCTCGGCTAATATTGATCATTGCGAGATGTTTTATGGCCTATTCCTTTCCTCGATAAATGCACTATCCAACGCAACAAATTAATAAAATTATTAAAATCGGAACAGAGATTAGCGCGTCAAAACGAACAAACAAAATTTTTCAGTTTGATCTGAAATGTCGCGTGATGTCACTTGTATGTACATTTTATACGTAGAAATGACGTTTTAGCCCCCACTCCTAAACTTTGATTCGTTTTATCTAAGTACTGTATTATTATACGACAAAATAAAAAATAATATTTTTTCTAATATTTTTTCATTACCTAACTTACGGACTAATTATATTTTTAATTTTCATACCCTGTCATCATGCCAATTATGCCGGCAATTACGTATCGGTATTATATCTTCTTTTAGAGCGCGTGGCAGGTCATCGATGCTATGGACGGATCAAATTAAACTGTCAAACACCAAGCGGTCACCGGTGACCGCAACCTATTGTTCTATAATTGTGTCTAACTCTATAATGACGGTACTCGACGAGTTAAACCTGCACTCAATGGTTAATTCAGGAGGGCAATAAAAATAATTATGATTGTGTTCAAAGACAAACCTTGTAATCGACTTCTTAATAAAGTGTAACCGCCAAAACTGTAACAAACCTCCTTACATCATAAATTTACACCATAGACAAGATCAGTACTGTAGTAACCGTACTAACATTGGGTCCCACGCTTAGTAAATACTGGGACGCTAAGTGTAAACGATTATGAAGAAGAATAATTTCACCTTCTACGCAATCTGTACCTAAGAGATAAGAACCGATAACAAATAGTAAAAAGCCCTATTGTATAGTATAAATTTACATAACATAACATCATGCCTTTTATCCCCAAAGTGGTAGACAGAGGTGCATATTACGCCACTTATTGCCACTGTACAATGTAACACCTACTTTTCACAATTTTATGTTATGAGTCCCATGTTATAGGGGGTGAGCCTATACCATATACCGGGCACAATTCCAGACTCCGTGCTACTACTGAGATTATTTTTAAAAACCCAGTAATTCTTCGCCCGATCCGGGAATCGAACCCGAGACCCCTTGCCCGGCAATAGTACTTGCTACCACTCGACCAACGAAGGAGTCTATATACATTTACCTGGTATAAATAGGTAAACAGGAACACATATGAAAAGGCTTTTAGTTTTAAAAGGGTTTATAATGAAAGCCGACGAAGCTTTTAGGCGCTGGCCGACGAAAGGTATCGTCCAGTTACTTCTACATATATCTATGTTCAGTTTTTCTACAACCTACTTGTAGTACTTATTTACTTTAAAGGTTTTGTTACCTGTATGTAAAGTGATGGCTAATGCAAGAAAGAAAAATCTATTTTAGACCTCGATTTTTATTTAAATGTTAAAAATAGACTCTGGTCTGTGCTCTAGTGTCTGTACCCTGGTTACATATATCAACTTTAAAAAAATGCTTAATGTACGGTAATTTAATTCACAAATCAATCAAATATCTATATAGGTAAGAACAAGTTCTCAAATTAACTAATATGTTTTTGGTTTACTCACGAAATCGTTTGAAGAGGAACTCAACTAGTTTCAAGCCATGCTAAAGGCTCATATTCATGAGCAGCCCGCGACCCGCGACGCGGCGACTGTCGTTCTAATTCTTTAAACTGGTCAAGTACCTCGTCAAACAGTTACCTGAGTAAATCGAAAACATTATATATTTTTTTATGGTAAACTCGGTACACGAGCAGATGGATCACCTGATGTTAAGCAATCGTCGTCGCCCATGGACACCTGGAACTCCAGAGGCGTTACAAGTGCATTACCGGCCTTTTGGGATTAGGAATTTAAGGATTGTTGGGATTCAAGGATTGTTGAAAGGGGGCGGGGGGCCTCCGATAACCTCACTCACACGACGAAACACAACGCAAGCGTTGTTTCATGTCGGTCTTCTGTAAAAGGCCGTGGTATTACTCCGGTCGAGCCGGCCCATTCGTGCCGAAGCATGGCTCTCCCACTTATAATATTTAATTTAGTAAATCTCATGAAGTTTTTATATAGAAATCTCAAGTGTACGTATGTACTCACAAACAAGATGAAATTAACAGAACCAGTACATCAATAAGACCTTTCACGTACGTACGTAGTCCACGTACAGTAATTGAAATGAGACGTCTTCCTTCACCTTCACATGTTCCCATAAGTCATCAAGAACATTAGTATGCACGTTACGATCGCTCGGTCATAAGGCATTAACAGACTGCTCACATCTTAAAGTTGGTGTTACACTGGGACTTCTAGGGCAGGTTTCGCCACTGACAATAAATTATGCGAACTTTTTTTTTATACCACGACGGTGGCAATAAATCACACGGCCCACCTAATGGTAAGCAGTTACCGTGGCCTATGTACGCCTGCAACA